TATAGGCTAACAATAGCCTAACAATCTTATTGTCAGGTTTATGTTCTGTTATGTGGATCATTATTTTGTCATTCTCTTCGGTTTACTTCACTTCCCGTTTCAACGCTATTTGGTTTCGGTTTCATTGGTTTCTAAATATGACCTCGTTAGTCATATCGTAACTAGATTATATATATATATATATATATATGTGTGTGTGTGTGTGTATGGCGATAATACCGCATACCGCGCTATTGAGCCACTCAAAATTACCGCAAGGGAAATTCCCTCACCACGACAGCCCTCCAGCCTATTTCTTACACAAACTCATCGATTTGCTTCAGAAGGCCTTTATTCACCCCCCCCGGAGCCGTGTGGGACACTTTTTATTATGGATGGATGTGCTTTATTTGATGTCTTTTGGACTATTGGAAAATAACACCCATTCACTGCCATTATAAAGCTTGGAAGAGCGAGGATATTTTTTATATAACTCCGATTGGATTCGTCTGAAAGAAGAAAGTCATACACACCACGGCTGGCTTGAGGGTGAGTAAATCATGGGGTAATTTTCATTTTTGGGTGAACTATCCCTTTAAGGATAAAGTCTATATCATTAGTGCGATACAGTGTGTTTTTCATTCATCATCCTAAAGAAGAACACTACATAAGAAGGCCGATTGGAGTCGCCAGAAGGACACAAAAACAAACTGTCACCAACACACAGTGTTCCCGCTCAGCTGTTTAATGTCCCACAGTTCCTTTAGTGCTCCAAGACAAGCACCAGTGTGTGTGTGTGTGTGTGTGTGTGTGCATACTGAGCCTACAACACTCTTTTATACACACAAAGAAGAGGAGAACAGTGTGGCCACACCAAGTTAAACATTACTGACAGATACAGACAGAATAACTCATATATTGGGAGGTTAGAATGGAAGATCTTTTTCTCTCAACAGGATTTCCTAACACAGAGGGTCACACGCAGACATGCCTCAAGCAACTGATTTTAGTGCTGTTTGCCAAGACAAGTATCACTAATACTATTGCTAAGGTTAAAGATTTTAACAAACACCTAAGCCTACAAATTACACTTCGCTATGAAATTAATATTAAGTTTCACTGAGTAACTCTTCCAGGCCTGCTGAATGACAACTCAAATCATGCAACTTGTGCTATTAAAGTGACTGGACTTAAGGTTTCCTCTGATGGATCATAAAACATAAAAAAAAGTCTAAAAGATTTATATTAAAAGAGGGGCCCCAAGTCATATTTAGGGATCTGAACCAGGGTTATTTTGCTTTTAATTTTTTTTATGCATTTTAATTCCTATTTTATATTTAAATGTGGTCTAGTTTTCATTAGTTTTCACTCTATTATTATTGAACATTTTTTAAATCCAGTTTTTGTTTACAATCATAACACAGATCAGAATATCATAGTGACTGAAGTATGGGCTCTTTTGTCTTGAATCAGTAAGTAACCCTGCCAGAACACCCTAGCAACCCCATAGCAACCACCCAGAACACCTTAGATACAACATAGCAGCATGATAAAAACACTTAGAACACCCTAGCAACCACCCACCTCAGCGCTGTGTTGCTGAATTTTGCTCGGGCAAACACCAGAAAGTGTAAAATCTTATTTCTGTTATTATTGTAACTCAATAAATAAACTTTTAAAGATTAAACCAACAGGAGTCTAAAAAAAACTGAGTGAGATTTTCTGTATGCAAAACAGCACGGAAACACAACTATGACTAATGTAAATAAGGTTCGGCCATTAACACACGCACACAAGTTCCTCTTGCCTGCTAGACAGCTTCAGGTAACAAAGTCAACAAAGGAAATATCTGACTGAGGCAGAGTCGCCACAGAAACAAATCCTCACCTCTGACCCTGCCCATAAGATATGACAACCTCTCCAAAACATCCAAATAAACTAGCCCTACCAATCCCTGCCAACAGTACTCTGGTATCATATCATACACTGTAGAGTACTGTCAGCAGGTGATAATACCATATAGTATTTTGATATACCATATTCATGTATTACATAATTTAGTGCACACGTAATAATAATGTCTAACATTAGACTCAATGTGCAAGTTAAAAAACAGTACCACAGTAAATATATTTTATTTTTTTTAATAAAAAAAAAAACATGGCAGTACTATGATACATGCCCAAATGCAATGGTAGTAGTGTTATGTGCCTGAAAAAAGCGGTACATATCAAAAACCATGATACATGCCCAAAAATGTGGTTTTATTGGGTTATAAGTCTGAAAATATGGTGTATAATCAAAAAACATGGTATTACCATGATATATGCCCACAAATGTGGTAGTATTGGGTTTTATGTCTAAAAAACATGGTATATATCAAAACCTTGGTAGTACCATGATACTTGCCCCAAAAATTTGGTAGTATTGGATTATGTCTGAAAATCATAATACATAAAAACATGGTACCAACATGATACATGCCCAAAAACCAGGGTAGTATTGGGTTATATGTCTGAAAAAACATGGTAGTACCATGATCCATGCCCCAAAATTTGGTAATATTGGGATATAAGTCTGAAAAACATGGCAGATATAAATAAACATGGTAATACCATCATGATATATGTCCAGAAACCATGGTAGTTTCGCCTAGTACATATACATAAAACATGGTAACATATCTGAAAAATATGGTATACAGTATATCAAAAACATAGAACCATAGTAGTACCATGGTACATTATACAATACATATAAACATAATAGTACTGGATTGTATGTCTGAAAAACATGGTACACATAAAAGTAGTACTATGGTAGTACTATGATACATAAAAACATGGAATATTTGCCTGAACATCATGGTGACTGTCCAAAAAGCAGAAAACGGGTCAAAACAAAACTATGGTCGTAATATGTTTTTTTTTTTTTTTGTTAGTGTGGCAACAGAATGGATGGCAAACTCTGTCTATTGTTTTTTTTTTTCTTCAATAAGCATTTTAAGATCATCCTCATCTGTCTCCCCTCCCCCATCTGTCCAGAGGCCCGTGACCCCTCCATGAGTCAGGTGACCACATCAGCTGTCCAACACTGTCTGCTCTCCTCTATTCACTCCTTACACCATCTCTGATATGACTTTTGCTGCCTCGAGTGAGCACTTGTTGGATATTCATCCACAAACTCAATTTCAGACGCTTTTGTATTATCTCTCTTGGTGGAACAGCCACAAATGTACAAAAGTTACAAAATGTTCCTTATTCATACTATAATCATTGTCTAACAGCACTGAACTGACAAGGAGGTTTGAGACGAGCTCCATTACGTAATGTCATTCCCATACACTTGGAGAGCAGTTTGAACATGCGCTCACTTCACTAAACAAGAAGAATACGCAGACGCTTACCGCCTTTAGTTGCTCCAGTCGGTCCTTCATCTTTCAATCTATTGGTTAACACTATCTTAAAAATAAAACAAGTAAATAATAAATAGGAGAAAGTCAAATGAGACGGTAAAGTGCGCGGTCAGAGTAGCGACAGCCGGGCTGCTGAGCGGATCGTTGGCTCCTGAACTCCGCGTATTCCTGCTCCGGTGAGTCGTGTTATTCCACCGAAGGTCCATGCAATATGGCTGCTCTTCTCCAAACCAGGAGTTTTTCCCTCTAAATCTATCCACTCGGAGGATTAAAACAACAGTTGCGTTCAATCTGCTTAATCTGTCTTCCTCCCTCTCCCTCTCTTTTCTCGTTATAATCGCTCTGAAAGAGCTGCTCTCTCTCTCTCTCTCTCTCTCTCTCTCTCTCTCTCTCTCTCTCT